ATCTAGAAAACAGGGAGAGGTGAGGTCCTCAGGGTTATCAACATTCAAAGGCAGGGAGAACAAGGACGGCCCCACAAGCTCATGCCAGCTCCTCTGTCATGGCCGCTGTACATTGGGCCACGAGCCACACTAACCCAGAAGCGTCTGCCGAGGGTCTCAGGCAGCTTGCAAGCATTCTCTGCCATTTGTGCAGCTGTCATGAAGGGAGAGAGACCCATATTCCCAGGGTTCCACCAAGTGGATTTCTTTATCAATTCAGAACAATGTGATTAGAATACAAATTTTTTTTATTAGTTCTGATTTTGTCACTCTGAATATATATTTACCAGGATGAATACATCTCCTGCTTATTTTTGCAACTAACAGAGGTGAATAGCATACCTCATGCCACACTAAGAGAGAGGTAATGCTGGAGAAATGAATATAAATCACTCTTTTCACCTAATAGTGGAGTTATTGCGTAGACAAGTAGGTGCCCATTCACCTGGCGATTCCAAATGTCTTGAATATAATTTGTCAAACTTCCATCACTTTCCTTCCTTTCTTGCATATGAGTATCACAATTTCAAGGAAAATGATTTAGTGGCAAAATCTCAGATTGTAGCAGAGCCAGCTCACCTAATACACATCAACCCAGTTATTATGCTGCAGAAATAAGTTCAATGCACTTATTAAAAATGTGAACTGCTCCTTTCCACCAAACGAGGGAAAGAGAAAAAAGAAAGAGAAAATCTTCGGAAGAAAAATATAAGGGCTTTACTGACTGGTCTTTGTTGCCTTTCCTATTTGTTGTAAAGACTCAGTGTGTGGGAGTTAATTATATTAGTTATCTTGGGTAACAAGCTATTAATTTTGTTCTTCAAAGTTATTAACCACCTTTCTATACACAGTTCACAGGCGAATGAATGAACTTAATCCCTGTATTAAAATACAAAACAAACCAAATAATCCCATGTTTCATGACTTCTCAAAGTTGATTATCTCCTTGGCCAGATATACAACCGCCACTTTAGAAAAGAGTCTCTGGCAATTTATATGAGAAGCCTGTGAAAGGGGATTTAATCACACTTTAATAGTAATTCTGATTCACACCAGACATAAAAGGTCACCAAGGAAAAGCATTTTTTCCCAGTGATTTAACTATATTGGAATAGTACAATTTCTTCTTCCGGTGACCGCACAACTCCTGAGAGAGTCAGCTTGTCTGATGGGATATACTGCTTTTTGCCAATTTAAACAATTCGGTGGAGAAAATAAGTATTTAAGATGATAACATTTACTGTCTCAAGAAGTCTGTAGATTCCTCTCTTTGTGGTCATGTCTCATTCTTCACAGTGAAACATATTACTATTTAATTCTAACGCAGCAATTTTATATAGATAATGACCTTTATCTCCTAATTGCGAAGGAACATTTTACTTGTTAGAATCATTATGCACGTTAAAAAAAAAAAAACAACAAACTACAGTAAATGAAGAAACTATTACCATCAATCACGATATTTATCTGCATTTAAGGAGCTCCATGCTCTAACAGGAGCAAACAGTGGTTTCATGTACCAATACTCCTATGGGAAATCTGCAGTGATTTATTTCTTTGATTTATTAAATGCCTAGTCGTAGCTCAAAGGTCTCTGAATACCCATAAAATTAGGAAATTATTGCCATAAAATTAAAAAAATAATAGGCAAATCTGCAAACAGGAAGCAATCCAACAAGATGGTACCTATTGGAAATCACTGCATTATAAAAATAATATGTAAAATGAAATCTTTGAACTACTGTTATAGCAATATACTATGCTTTTATGAAACTCATTTTTTGGTTCTATTGCTGTAGCATATATCTCATTTATATAGCCATTTCCTTTTCTTTTAAATTCATCTGGAAATAATGTACATATGAAGATATTTCTTCCTATATGATTCCCTTTTGAAGTTTTCTGATTTCAAATATAGTAAATTAGTGATGTTAGTATAAAAATCAGTAATTTAACAAGGTTATATAAGCATTATTAATAATTATCGCAGAGTGAACAGTTAGGTTGAAACTAAGGTTTAGGAAATTATTCTCAGAATACAATTAAGTGGTATTATTATTATAGTTGAGCTTCAAATAAATTAAAAGGCTAAATATTTGAAGATATGTTTTAGCATAAAAATCTATATGATGCAAACCACAGCCCATTAAAATTCCCTGTTCTGCTATTTTTTCAATGACATAAAAATAAACAAGTTTATTATATTTTTAAGAAAATAGTTCTGGAAAGTTATTTAAAATAATTCAATGAAAATAAAAGCTTAAGTAGAAAATAGGAAAAGAAAATATTTATAAAAACCGTACATTTATGCAAAGGACAATAAAATATTAATAAAGAAATATAATTTATTCTTAAATGGGAAAGCTCAATTTTATATATTTTCTTCCTAATATAATCTACAGGCTCAGTACAATCTCAATCAACTCAGTAAGAGGTTTTCTTAGGAACAGAGAGAAGGAAGTATTTCATGACTTCAGATGAAGGGATCAAAGTATAAGAACAGTCAATAAATTTATGAAAATTAAATGTTATTGAATTAAGGACTTTGAATTCTAATAATTATTTTTAACTAAGAGGATTAGTATGCAAAGGATGTATCTGGCAGCACTTAATAATAGTTAAAAACTGTAAACAAGCTATTAACATGGGGCTGATTAAGCAAATAACATCTCATCCATTCAATAAAACACTCCTTTGTCATTAAGAACGAGAAGTTTCTGGATTCATTTTTCAATGAAAGGTGTTAATAACATGTTTTTAAGTGAAAAAAAGTTATAAAAGGTATATAAAATATGATTCAATTTTTCTTAACGTGTACAGAAATGGAGGATATATGTAAAAACACTAAATGTGGTTTTCTCTGCTTACTAGGACAAAGGGTGATTTTTCAGCTTTTATCCTTTTTTTTTAAAGATTTTATTTATTTATTTGACAGGGAGAGACACAGCGAGAGAGGGAACACAAGCAGGGGGAGTGGGAGAAGAAGAAGCAGACTTCCCGTTGAGCAGGGAGCCTGATGCGGGGCTCGATCCCAGGACCCTGGGACCATGACCTGAGCCGAAGGCTGACGCTTAACAACTGAGCCACCCAGGTGCCCCAGCTTTTATCCTTTTTGACACTGGAAATTTTCTTTATAAAGATGCATTGTTTTTATAATCATAAGATATTATTTTAACATTCAGTGTGGGAATTTATGGGTAAAAAATAATTCAGTAAAATTAAAAGGAAAGTGGATACAGACAGCTTCTGGGAGAAGAAATCAATATGGCAACACCTGGAAGAAGTTGTCCACCTGCTATGATTTATAGGGGCACTTGAGGTACAGGATACAGCATGGAGGAATTCCATGTGCTTTGATTCTCTAGTTCCATTGTCCACTTTCTGTAATCATTTTACTGCTAACGTCAAGGTGAACACAGTAGTGATGGAGTGTCTCAATTCATATCAGTACACCCTCCAGGGTCCTTATACTTAATATGAAAGCTCTATTTTAATGCTGCATTTGCACACCTAAAATACATGCTTATAGGATAAGTTTATCTCTTGTTATGGTCCATACTAAAATTTGCCCCAGTGAATTCATATGGGAGTCTTATTAAAGAAGGGAAAAGTATGATAATGTGATTGACTGCTACAATATATATAGTTTAAATCCTTTTACGAAAGACCTTAATTTGTCTAGCTCTGATTCCATGTTTTAAAAAATAGGTGTATGTGAATATTAGCTAATGTGGAAGTTCTACTGAATAAAAATATTCAGTATAAAATGACTTGATAAAAATAATAACTTGTGGGATATCAACTCTGTGCCAGGCATAGTTCTAAAAGCGTTTTATGTGTATTAAGTCAATTATTCCTCAAAATAGCCTATGAGATGGGTGCTGTTATTAGCCTTCATTTCTCCCAAGGGAAACTAAGGCTCAGGTAATTAAGTCCCTTGTCCAAGGTGACAGTGCAGGTGATAAACCCAGATTGTGTGGCACCAGAACACATTTTATTTTCTCTTCATGCAGATTTTTAAAAATTGAAATGCTTTTAATTTAGAATAGTTTTAGATTGATAGAAAAGTTATGAAAAACAGTACAGAGAATTCCTGCATACCCCTCACCAGTTTCCTCTTTAAATCTTCAATTAAATGGTATATTTTTCACAACTAATTGTACACGGATACTTACTAACCTGCACACTTTACTCGGATGTCACTGGTTTTCCCTAATGTCCTTTTTCTGTTCCAGGATTCCGTTCAGGATACCATATTACGTTGAGTTGTCACACTCCCTAGCCTCCTCTGGGCTATGACAATTTCTCAGACTTTCCTTGTTTTTGATGACCCTGACAGTTTTGAGGAGTACTAAGCAGTATTGCGTAGAATGTCCCTCAAGTTTGCGGGATGTTTTTTTGTGATTAGACTAGGGTTAGAGTTTTTGAGAGGAAGACCACAGAGACAGTTGGCACATTATAGCAAAGGTTCAGGCTACCAGTGTGACTCATCTTTGATGAGGCTAGCCTTGAAGACCTGGCTGAGGTGGTTTGCCTGCTCTCCATTTTAAAGTTACCCTCCTTTTTCCAAGCTCTACTTGATGGAAAAGGTTACCAATCAAGGCCCGCATTTAAGTGGGTGGAGATGGGAGGGAGTTAAGCTCCACCCACTTAAAGGGGCAGGGCCATCCACATAAATTGAAATTCTTCTGCGAGAGCCCCCATTTTTAACCCACTATTCTACATTACAGCAGACAGCCTATCATTTCCTACCATTCTGGCACATTATTTGTGTACAGTAGTTTAAAAACACAATTCTTAACTAATTTCCTGCTTTTTCAAAGGTGCAAAAAATACATCAGAATTAAATGTGACAACCAATAAATTTGTGTAAAATCATTTTCCACCAGCACTGTACAACTTGTCATGAAAGGATGAATTAGAAACCAATTTTTCTCAGAAGCACTCTGTGAAGAACTTACCAGAAATATTCGTTCCAGTTGATCCTGAATGTCTTTCATTCCTGGAAAAGCAGCAACCCCTTGGATCATTTCAACAAAGATGCAGCCGACTCCCCTAAAGAGAGAAGAAAAAAGAATTGTACAAAAGCTCCAATATTTCCTAGTAAATCTGGAATTAGGACGTCTATTCCTACAGAGGAAAAACAATGAATAAATGACATTCTTAGTGAGTACCAAGGGCTGTGCCACATATATCTAGACCCTACTTCTTTCCTTTCCCTCTCTGTCTAGTGCCCTGAAAGGTCTCTAATAGATGCAGCTACACTGGGCTCAGAAAATGGTGGCAACCAATAAAATATAACACTTAGCAGCTCCACCTTACTTACAGGAAACAGTCAAGAAACTCTTTAGCCTGATATAGAAAGCCTCCAGTCTTTTTCAAATACCCCTATCCAACCCCATTTCATGAATTCTTAATATATTGTCCTCTCAAGCTGCCCAGGAGTTCTCAAACCTCTCTTTGCATCGAAATCATCTGGGGGGAACTTTTAAAAACTGTGAATAATCTGAATACAAACCCCAGAGATCCTGTGTCAATCCGTCTAGGTTGGATCCCAGGTGTTGACCCAGGCTACTTGGTGATTCAGGGCAGCTACACTAAGGATCACTGAGCTGGACTGATCTGCCCACGGGCCAAGCATAAACCCATACAGCTTGACTCAAATTGCTTCACTACCTACAACTCCCTCCTTCTTCATTTATTTGCTCTTAACATATAAATCCAACCCAATTTCTATAACCTAATTTAAATGCCATTTCTTCCACAAAGCCTTCTTCTATGAGTATTCCAGCAGACATAATAGCTCCCTTTATGAGTGTATTTTATTAAGTTCTCATTCAATATATCAGCCACCTACTATGGTTAACTTCCCGTCCTAGCTCAGCAGGTCATGCTCACAGTCCTTGTCTAGCAAGGCAGTCCAGAAGATCAGGAGACTTGCTTCCCAGACCACAGTGGCCTGAACCTAACCCAGTAGGAACAACCAACCCATAGTATAGGCAGAGAGCCAATCAGATACTTCTGCTGGGACTTTAACAAACAATCACTTGGGAGAGGGTCCTGGAAAGAAACTAGCATATGTTGATGGGATAAGTCACATTAATGAAAGAGCACTAGGAAGGACAGTCTTTTTGCAGATGAAGTCCCCTGAACTGACCTGGTTTCCACCTTCCTAAGGCCTGAATATTCAGATAATCCATTGCTTTTGCTAGCACTCTCTACCTTCTAGCAATTCTCCAGGATGTGTGTGTGTACACATATATATATATTAAACGGTTCTATAAGTGTGTGTGTGTGTGTGTGTGTGTGTGTGTGTGTATATATATATATTAAATGGTTCTACCTTGAATGGGTTTCTATTTCCTGAAAGCATTCTGATGAAATCATGAACATACTGGGATACTTCTTCAATTGCTGCACTCATATTCAACTTAGGGTGAGCAAAACCCTTGTGCCTTTAACTTATTTCAGATCCTTTAGAGGTTAAGGACAAGGGACTACATCTCTGTAACTGCCCCACTTGTTACACAGTTGTATATAAACCATGTATTGAATTAAAGAAGTAATGCATTTGCAGAAATCTCTTCTCTATTACAGCACATAATTTCTATCCAAATTAAATACCAAAAGTAAATAGAATCAAAATGACTAAAAACAAATAAATGCTACCTTATATATCATAAAAATAATTCCATTTAAATAACAAATCATTAATTTTAAAATCAGCGTTCTAGGCAGATTGGGTTTAACACAAGTCTTCATTTAGATTTGAGACACAACATACATTTTGACAATCATTTTACTAGCCTACTAAAAATGCAATGATATTCTTATAAATATTGGGGCTTCAGATGCCTGGTTAGGTTTAAGACTTCAATTTGTGTCCTTCCAAATTTTTATGCCAATAATTCTTTTCTAAGACTACTGACCTACATTTCTACTGTCTTTTTTTTTTAATTTTTTTTCAAGATTTATTTATTTATTTTAGAAAGACAGAACACAAGCAGGAGGGGTAGAGGGAGAATGAGAGAATCCCAAGCAGAATTCTGAGCTGAGCAGAGCCCGACATGGGGCTCCATTTCATGACCCGAGATCACGACCCAAGATCAGGACCTGAGCTGAAACCAAGAGTCGCCGCCCAGGCGCCCCTCTACTGTCTTCTTATTTACGTTTACATAAAGTATCTTGGATCTTCAATAGCTACTGACACCTTCCTTCCAACATTCAGGGTATTCTCTCTATTCAGTGTCATTTGGCTTTCATCTTTCCCAGCACAGGCTGCAACTCTGAGTGTTCAGACCTTCAGCAGAAGCCACAGCTGCCCCCAGTGGGTACCCAGCAAGCTGGCAGGTGAGGTAACCATTACACACACTTACAGAAATGCTGTTAGCACTACTTGTGCTTGGTCCAGATCACCTCCATAATACTTAGAACAATTAAAAGATAAATCTATGCTGCAATTTTACTCAGTTGGAGTACGATGACAGAGCATTTTCACAGGCTTTTATCTGCTCAGCCAGCTAAGGGACATGGACTTTCATTTCTTTTTTTTTTTTTTAAGATTTTTATTTATTTATTTGAGAGAGAGAATGAGAAAGAGAGAGCATGAGAGGGGGGAGGGTCAGAGGGAGAAGCAGACTCCCTGCTGAGCAGGGAGCCCGATGTGGGACTTGATCCCGGGACTCCAGGATCATGACCTGGGCCGAAGGCAGTCGCCTAACCGACTGAGCCACCCAGGCGCCCCGGACTTTCATTTCTAATGAATGTTTCTGATGACATCATTCTCCAAAGATGTGTGAGGATATACTAATAAAGCTGACAGAATTATACTTAAAGGATGTATAAAAGGCTACAGAATGCACAAGAAAATTATAAAGCAGAAGTGTCAAACATATCAACATATTACAGCCTAGCAGAATACTTTATGACTGGAGCTGCCTTATTGCCACACAGCAATAGAAGCCCTTCAATTAATATGAAGGGACTATCGCCTACTCCGCTTTCTTCCCCCTCGCTACCCTCTATTACCTTGCACTCCCTAGTGCTTGATGGATTAAGTTGCCCTGTGGCTTGCTGAGAAAGAATTCAATCACTTAAGTTCTATACTTATGATATATAATCTTATTCAGGAAATGCCTCCTTTAATTTGTAGCTTCTTTTGATAATTTGAATAATTATGTAATTATCACCCACACAGTCTAAATTTTTCAAGAATAAGAACTGGTCACAAAGCTTACAATTAAAGCTGTCACAGGATGCACTGTGTTCAAACTCTCACACACGATTAGTTACCTGGTAAGACAATGTACAAAACACCCACCCACGCCCATGTATCCTTCAGTTCTTCCAAACTCAAAACTGCCAAATTTAATTTATGCTGCAGATGTGTGATTTCTTCACCACAATTCAAAGTAAGATTTTAAGCAGAACTGATAATTCTTTTTTTTTAATATTTATGTATTTATTTTAGAGAGAGTGAGAGAGTAGGGTGGGGGTGTGGAGGGGTGAGAGGGAGATGGAGAGAGAGAATCCCAAGAGCTTAACCAGCTGAGCCACCCAGGTGCCCCAGAACTGATAATTCTTTGTAATTATGATTATGGAGGGACAACTTTTTAAGGGTGAAGGTCAAACAATTTGGGAGTTATTATTTTGAAAAAGTATACAAAATTGGGGCATCTGTGTGGTTCAGTCGGTTAAGTGGCTGACTCTTGATTTTGGCTCAGGTCATGATCTCAGGGTCCTGGGATCGAGCCCCGTGTCGGGCTCTGTGCTCAGCGGGGAGTCTGCTGGAGATTCTCTCTCTCTCTCCCTCTGCCCCTTCCCCCTGCTTGCGTGCACACTCTCCCTCTAAAATAAATCTTTGAAAAAGTATACAAAATTATGAATAAAAATTGAGTACAAAAGTGAACTCAGAATGAGAAAATAAATCAAAAGAAATCACAAATTTTTAAAAGTTAACAAATAGGACAAATAATATTAAATTCAGAAAAATAATGTAACGTATTTATTAACTGACACACCTCTCTAATACTTTTCTTTCTACAATTCTGGCTGCATAATCTTTGATTACCTCTTCTATAAGAATTCTAGAATATTTTCTACAAAGAGAATACAGAGATAACAGTCGTTCCTCTAGCATAATGATGACTTTCTTTTCTGATAGTCTAGTAGAAAAGTTTTCTGTTCTTTCAGCTTCCCTTCTCCTGACTGCTATAGTCATGTAAACTTTTAGGACTGTCGTCAATTTGGGGAAAACTTACCACGTTTCCTTCAAGTATGTCTGTGTACTATAAACACAGTAATTCTAAAACATTCTACACAATTCCCATGATAAATACCAAAGGAGCACAGGAGGACATGCACTTGCACTCCTGAAGTCTAACGAGACTAGGAAAGTGGAACGTGGTGCCTTACGGGGTGATGGCATGGGAGTGGGAATGGGGCATTCCAGACAGAGAAAACAGGACCCTATACATGAGGAATCTTGGGAGAGCCAAATGCTGTTATGGCTGTGCTTAGAAAGTGGAAGAGAGAGTTAAAAAAGGAACAGAAGTCCATACACTAAGTAAGCTAAGCCTTTTCTTCCTACACTAGGTCTCAGCTTTTTTCTGTATCCTAGGACTCAATGATGGATGAAGCTCACCAACTGGACATACAGGTGAAAAACCCAGATTACAGATCAGGAGATAAAATAGTCTCGAGGACAGAAGCAATTACAACCATTGGTTGTAAAGCCACCTCGTTCTTTCCCACTCATGGCAGCAAATGAATGAGACTTAGCAGTAGTATCAGCCCTCTCTCTACTCGGAGGAAAGACAAGGGGGCCACACACACAATAATATGCAGGGATCCACAAACTACAGACCAAATCCTGCCCAGAGCCTGTTTTTATAACCTATAAGCTAAGACTGGCTTTTACTTTTTTTTTTTTTTAAGTTTTTTTTATTTATTCATTCGAGACACAGAGATATATATATAGAGAGAGCATGAGCAGGGAGAGAAGCGGTTGGGGGTGGGGTGGGGAGAAGCAGGCTCCCCGCTGAGCAGGGTGCTCG